AGCACGATCAGCACCACTGCGGTCCATGCCTGCATCTTGCCGATCGTTTAGCTGTATCGTGTCGCCTCTGGCTATATCTTGCCCTTGATTCTTGGCTATATCGCTGCGTTAGTAGCTACAACGTAGCCTACGATAGTTGTATACAGTGATAGACCGTTTTGCTATGAGGTATCGTAATGCTTGCGCCTCAGTATAGAGTCACGTATAGGACGATTATTGTTCGATATTGTAGGATGTCAAGAAATGTTACCCCGACTGGTCTCGTATACTGACTAGTATGCACTCGACGCACACCTGTATTTATCCGGTTGTGCGAGATGTAAGATATACATCCCACTTCCGTTCCAGTAGTGCGTCATATAAGCACACATTTCGTTATGAATGTATATATATATATATACGTATATGGGCGAATTTGCCGTCTGGCGCTGGTATGTAAACAAGCCTTCGACGCACGCGATGAGTCGGAATTTAATGGAGCCGTAGTTTCGTAGTAAAACGACCGACCTGTGCGTAATTCCGCCCCCACAGGCCTGCTTTCTGATATACCGGCCTACCGATCCGATCGGCCGGCCGGCCTTTCTGATTTCCGGCCGGCTGACGGGCCTGCTTTATGTTTTATAGGTATGCGCGTTTACCATCAATAGTGAGTCAGGGCGTCGATTGTTTTATGCAATACGCCCCGGAGATATTTGTTTAGTCATAACGCACGATTCGCCTTCTCCACATACCGAATGTGTTTTATTGCTCGCATAATGTAAAAGCAGCCGATCCCAATGTTTACCGCAGTCATTTCATCATGTTGACTCGCTAGTCACTTTCAGTAAGGGATTCTCACGAATATATTTATTCATGAGAAAGAGCTATATCGTTGAGCACATGCAAACTCGAAGAATAAGCCAGCTTTGTTCTTTACTTTAATTCCTGTAACCAGGTAGATGATACTATACTGCTTGCTCTTCCGTGCCACACTTATATCCGATATAATCTGGAATTATGATTAAGTAAAGTCCATACGGAGCGCAACAAGTGCACACGAGCACGCCAATCTTGTTCAGGTCCATACACCTGAAGCTAACAAAGAACATTTGCTTATTATTAGCCTTGCTTATTGCACTTGGTACTAAAAACTTTGTAAAACGTGTTCGAATCCAGAAGCCGTGATTGCATTCCTTCTACGATTGAGTATGTAATTATAGTCTCTTAACATAAAGATGTCTTATAGTCGTCTTAATATAATGCGCTGTCCATTTTTCTTTAACATTTATTTATAAAAACATTTTAAAAATTATTAAAAACAGGGATTGGCATTTTACATATCACGCTACTAATGTGAGTATTCGGTTTCTACTTTAAATGCATACCTTTAACGAAACATTCTTTTGGCGCATATTGATTATATGAAAACATAGATCCCAGCCTATATGCTAGCTTCAATATAGAGAGGTTGATGAAATTTGTACGCTATATAGTATAAAACTGAGAGATTAGGATTATCATAATTACATCACAAATCAAATTTAGTAGGTGCTTTCTACTTTAAACATATAATTTCAACAAAACGGCAATTCTGGTATGGGCAAATCCTTTTCCCTATGTTTGCTACAATACAGCGAATTTCAAGAAAAGTAGAATTTAACCAGCACAGTCAAGGTACCGTGTTCTAAAGCACGACATCTCGACCTCCAGATATTTATACTAGCCCCCATCCCAGGACATTTTAGGAAGCGAGATATACTACCTTTGACCTGGATCTAATGGTTGATTATTTACCTGTCGACGAAAGGAGATTTGTCAAACTTCTAAAATTAAAGAGTTACCGCTCTACTGTCTACAATCTCTAAAGGATTCACGCGTTTGCTCCTCTCCCGGGGAACAGGGATTCTTGCATGGGTTCCAAATCATAGCAGTGAATAGATTAATATGCGACTACATTGATACGTCTATATGACACCATACGAAAACACCTGACTCATCCTGAATAGATATATACATATATGAAGCGTCTAGAAAGGTCAATGTATGGCTCGACAGGTTATATGTTGCATGACAGTGCATCCATCATTGCTGTTTCTATTCATGCTTTCCTGTTCCTAGTCATATCAGACACCATCATGTCTCTAGGTGAACTACAGGCGCCAAGTAATATAGTAATATAGTAATATGGATTCTGTACCAATGCTAGATTCACACGATAAATAGCAGGAGACTCCATTGATTTTACTAGAATAGTATTTTTCATAAACGCTCTGTTGGGGCTTTACACACTGCTGTCATTATTGATATTGACAGCGATTAACAATTAAGTCACTATAAAAGCTTGATGCGTGTTATAGCTCGCGGTGATGTACACGAGCTGTATACTCAATGGTGGGCCGTATGCTAACACGAACGTGAAAACCCCTGCTTAGAAATTTATAGCATTCAAAAAATAGTATATGGGTGTAACGCCGAGCGTCACGTGACACCAAGAGTGAAGAGCGTGTACAGATGAATTAACAGACAAAGTCGACCAGGAATAACAAAAAAACGAAGATGGAGGTTCCCGGGACTATGATGTATCTGTATTTGCATTAGTTGAGATACGAACGCGGGAATGTGTCGAGAGAGAACAGTCCTACACCCAAGTCGTTGTCAGCTGTGACGTTGTTCGTTACTATGCAATTATCCCTTTTACGGCAGTCGTATATATATGCGCGAAGTGTGCTCGTCCGGTGTGTATATACAATTCTTATGAGAATTGTATTGCGTTCGCGGCTCCCGTGTGTGCACAGGAATTTTTCCATTTCCATGGCCCATTACGCCCAATGCCCATTGCCCCAATGGCCCAATGTGCCCATTTCCTTTGCTACTCCCCGATCCAATGTCGGCTGCCCACGTGGTTGATTGTTGCACGACAGCACAGAGAGATGTATCCCGTCCTGTTAGCCTAGAAGTCAGCACAATGAAGAAATCGAGCTGTGCTACGTTTTTTCTATTTCCTATGCCTCTTTTGTGAATTGGGATTGAAGCGAATTGAGTTTTGTGTTTTACAAATTGAGTTTTGTGGAACCGGTTCGACAGAATTGAGTTTGTGTTTACAAATGAGTTTTGTGGAACCGGTTCGACAGAATTGAGTTTTGGTGTTTACAAAATGAATTTTGTGGAACTGTTCGACAGAATTGAGCCCTGTCCTGCATGGCGCCCCGTCTACGAG